CCTCCTCCTTCCAAGGGCTGAGAGAGGGACCGGCCCAAGTCACCGAGCTGGCTTTGTGCCTAAGCTGGGACTAAATCTCTGGGTTTCTAGCCTGGTGCTACTAGCGAGCGGGCTCTTTGTACCAAGAATATACTATTTTCTTCTGAATGCAGACTCCTGGGGACCCCACTGCTTTTCTGTCCTGATTTGTGGAATTTCCTGGAGGGGTCTAGTTGAATGCATGGGAAATGGGATAAATCACCCAGCTGGTTTTGTGTCTAAGGCAGGACTAGAACTCATGGTCGCCCAGTTTCTAGCCCAGTGCTTCTATCACTTTTTATTAAAGGCCTGGGCTCACCATGTATTCCTAGCAATTTGCCGATGATTGCAACATTCCAAAACACATTGAGAATGTGGTTCTAGTTTTGCTTTCAAAATTTGTCTGGCAACTTGAGCAAGGTAGTTGACAATGGAGGCATTTAAGCAAAATGAAGTATCTTTTATAAAACTAGTTCAGTGACATTTTCTGGCAAATTATGAATCTTTGCTCTCCTAATATGATTCTTTTAACATCCTTTCTTCCAGAGACCAACTTTTCTTACTAATACTATCTCAGCATAGTTATATTAGAAATTTGGAATGATTTTGACGTGTCAAATTTCTAATCTCTGCATAATTAAAGTTTTATTTTATTGAAACTCTGTGCTTGGTGCTGGACCATCTGTTACGTTCTGGTACTTAGTCCTGAAGCATGCAATGGCATAACAATAGAGTGACTTGGATTATGTTTTAAGTTGCCTTCTTTTTAGTCACAGATTTCATCTGTTCTTTAAGAAGTGTAACTTCCTTGAATGGAAATAAAGCATTTTTCCCCCCTTGAGAATAATTATGATAGTACTTGGACCTTTTTTTTTCATGAATCTAATAATTTGGATTCTAGTTTCTGAAAATGTATGCTTTAACAAACCTGTTATCCTTTATGATGCACTCTGATTTTCTCCATGTTTGCCTTAGGAAAAAAAATCAGCAGCAAGATTGAATCTTAATTTAAATCGCTGGGAGTCAGGCGACATAGACATTTAATAAATTAGTGTTAGTATTATTATAAAATAATTGTTCCTATTCTTGTTCCATCTGTTATCATTGGAGTTTGCAATTCGGACTGCCAACGTTCTTAGTGGCTTTGATGCTTTGCCTTAATGGCAGATGGTTTAGCATATTAATGTAACGGATGAAGTTTTCTGGGCTGAAGAAATGTTGGAGATAGCTTGAAAAATAATGTTGCTGTTAAATGTATAGGAACACAGCAAAAAAACAATAAGAAGGTGGTGGTAGTGATGGTATTTCAGTACGCAATGACAGTGTTTAATAAAATCCATCTTTTTTTTTTCCTTTTACAGCATAGTACAACCCAGAAGCACCATGGTGAGTTTCTGTGTCCTGCTTTCCTAAATATGAGGCTGTGTATATCAAATCACAGAGTAGTTTTGTTCATTCTTTCTCAGAAATCCAGTTTGTAATGAAGGTATTAAACATGGCCCCCTTTTTATAATGATTCCACCTGCCTAGAAAATGGGAGTCTATACACTGTGTTACCAAGAATAATTGTCCTCCCCTTTTTCAAACTCCTCTCTGGCTCTCAATCAGTTCTTTGGGGTCTCAATAAGTTCTCCATCAGTTTGGGGTCCCAAATTTGGGTGAATTTCATCTGAAATGCAGTGGAGCAGGGCCAAGCCTGACTGGGGGTTTGTTGGCTGACCTGAATCATGTTTCCAAAGGTGCTCCTTGCTGTACCAGTGATTGAGAGTGTTACGGATCACCTTTTTGTCATTTGAGTACTTTGTTCTTTAACAAAACAAACCTTTTCCTTGCAGTCTCGAAGATATGATTCTCGAACGACCATCTTTTCCCCCGAAGGTAATTACATGGCAAAAAGAGAAAAGCAATAGACATGTTTATTATTGGGTGGGTTCCTCCTCTTCAACCATGTAGTTATGATGTAGTTTATGTCCTAATAAGATAATAACTACTCAGTGCTAATCAGACCCCGCCATAGTTCTGGTGTTTGGTTCCAGGTCCTATATTGTTAAGAAAGATTCAGACAAATTGATTCAGAGAAATATGAAGACTGGGGAATGTTTTGCCTTGAGAAGAAAAGGCGGGGCTGGGGGGGAATGACATCATATCACTTTTTTAAACGTGAAAAGCTATCTCACAAAGCAAGGTCAGGACATCGATTATGTGCCATCAAGTCAGTGTCAATTCTCAGTGACCACTTAGATTTCTCCAGAAGGATCTGTCCCATCCTGGTCCTTCAGGTCTTCCAACGGTGCCCGCATTACCACTGTAACTGGGTCTATCCACCTTGCTGCTGGTCATCTTCTTCTTCTCTTTCTTTCCATCTTATTTCAAATGAAAGTTAGAAAAATGTCCTAAGAGCAGTTTGAAAGTGGAATCAATCTATTTTAATCAAATTTAAGAGATACTTGTTTACTTTCCATGATTCGTTTTTAAGCACTAAATTATTTATGTACCCAGAGAAGTAGTGGACTTTCCTTCACTGCATGCGTTCAAGTGTCAAACAGACACTTGCATCAGAGATGCTTTAAATTGGCTTCCCTCTGTGATTCCCTATATTGAAAGCAGCAAACGTTTGGTTCTTGATTACCAGAACAATAAATATTATATTATTTTGCATTAACATTGCTTCTAAAAAGGAGAGTCATGAATGTATATTTTCATTCCCTTCTTTCTTGGAGTGTATGTTTTGTTCTTCTGGCCTAACTCTTACACCGAAGATTGGCTTCAGTAGCCCGATACTCCAGTGTGACATGATGGCCTCAAATTTCAGCCATTAACACCACTCTTCATGTTCTTCTCTTAGGTCGCCTGTATCAAGTTGAGTATGCGATGGAAGCCATAGGACACGCTGGCACCTGCTTAGGAATTCTGGCAAACGATGGAGTGCTGTTGGCAGCGGAAAGACGGAACATCCACAAGCTTCTGGATGAAGTCTTTTTTTCAGAGAAAATATATAAACTCAATGAGTGAGTGAGATACTGGTGTCATTGTTTTATCTGCTGCTTCATAGATGCTGTCATTTAAGTCATCGTTCTTGGATTCCTGCTGGAACTGGGATCATTAGAAATGTTGAGCGAATGGTGGGGTCAGCAGTTTTCTTCGAGCCAAGAGCCGCAGGGAGGCTGAGGATAGGATGCCTGGGGAGGGGCAGGGTGTCATGACGAAGTATGTGAGTCCTTGGCTTAAAATGAAACCAACTCCAGCTTTAGGTTTGTGTAAATGTAATGGTAGTCCCCAGTTTAAGACCGGGTTCCATTCCCAAGGTCTGTCCTTAAGTCGAATTTGTATGTAAGCCAGAACAGTATTATTGTATAATTATAAGTAGTATTCGAACCATTGTGTATTGAACTTGAATCATTGTGTATTGAACTTGAATTTTGCTACTAAAGGCTCCGTTCTTAACTATGGGTCATCCTTAAACCGGGGTTTGTAACCTGGGGACGACCTGTACTGATGTTTGTTTACATACAGTTAATAATTCTGCACTCCATTTCTTTAATTAGTTACTTCTTCTGAAAAATATAATTAAAAGGCAACACTGGGGAATGATTGAGGGAGGAGCCATGATTGGGGGAGGGCTCTTACAACCTTGGTTTTGCTACTTTTTAAGTTCCTTTGTTTGTTTGACTTCCTTCAGTTGGAATAGTTGGCATCTTCCATCCATCTTAAATTCAGGAAGATTAGGGGTTTTTTTACCAAAAACTAGTTAGAAAAAGATTGAGGATGCAAGGCACTTTTCAAGAAAGCAGATGCACTAAAATAACTTTTAATGCTCGGGGCAGCTGTCTAATACTTAAGCAGGACTAGCTTGAACTCTTTAAAATTCTTTAACAATAAAAATATAATGGATTTTCTACACGTCTCACCCTGTTACATTTACAGGAGGGGACTTAGAATTATGTTCTGCAAACCAAAGTCTTCCCAGTTCGATCTCGTTCCATCTTTCGACACAAGAGTTTTGGAATATGCCAATCCCCTTTTTAACCCTTCTGCAGTGGCTCATGACACTCTTCTGAAAAGTTCCCTTCTCCACACCTTCTCCTTTTTACTTCCAGCTGTGTTTGGTGCTCAGCTGCCATAGGTCGCTTTGATTTATGGTGGTCTTCCAATAGTTGCGTGTGACTTTTATTTCTATTGCTGAGAAGGAATGATCAATCAGAGGCCAGCTATCTCTTTCCATATGATAGGTGTGGGATGTTAGAAGTTGTTGGGATGGTTTGGGTTATCTGATGGGTTCGCTGTTTCCTTCTTTTTCTTTTTTGTGGTTCGGCTTTTGTTGTGTGTCGGTTCTTGTTTATCTTGTTTAGTGCCTTGTGGGCTGCCCAGAATCCCTTGGAGTCAGGCAGCCCCAAATGGAATCAAACAAACAAACAAATATGAGAACTAATGATCTTATTTTAACGCCCTTAGAACAGCCTTCTTGTGACGGAATGGAATTATGAAGGCCAGACTCAGGGAGAAAAACATTTTCTTTCATCTCCTGAGGCGC